GTTCTCTGACTTATACTATCAATGAAACAGTTTTTCTTGGCCTTAGTTTCTGTAAAAAATGATACAATGAAATTAGATGACATATAAGGTCACTTTCTTTAAGGCAAAAAAATCTATAAATATCCCCTCATAATGCAAACATATCCCTACAAACATGCAAAACTAAATTACACGGAAATGGTGGTAGCTGTAGCATGTACCTTGCAGACTTCCAACTGCACAGACATAATTGACATGTGGCTTTGGATTCTGCTTCTGGAAATCTGTTATCACTTTTGAGTGAGGCCACCATTTCCCAAGGCTGTGTCCATGAGTGACTGAGAAAGGCACCGAGACCCTTTTGTGGCTATCCTCTGAAGATCAACACATCTAATAATATACTACTGCTGGCTCTAATAATGAGCAATCAGTTAGGAAGTACTTACTGTTTGCTCTTGATTCAAAGCCCTACATTAAATCATTTAATGACCACATTAAGTCATTATACATTAAGTCATAAATATACACTAGTCAAAATTATACATAAGTCAAAATCATACTTATACATTAAGTCATAAATACATTAAGTCATTTAATGGGCACAAATACTTTTCTTATGCACATTTCAGAAATGAGATAACTGAGGCATAGGAAGGTAACTTCTGAAAATCACAGAGTTAATATATGTAGGGCCACAATATTCAAATCCAGGATCAAGTCAGGCTCTTAACCATCAGGTTATTCAGTTTCTCAATGTCCAATTGATCTTCTTCTCTTTTTACAGGGAACACATACTCTTATTTGACTTTCTTGTACTAACTTGGTGTGCTAACTACTTCTTTCATCACTGTGACAAAAATACCTGACAGAATCAACTTGAAGGAGGAGACGGTTATATATTTTGGCTAGTGATTAAGCAAGATACAGTCCATGATAGCTGTATGGTAGCTGGCTTCATTCATGACAGCAGAAGCTTGCAGTACCCCCACATGTCAGCTTTACCAGGAAGTAGAAAGTTACATGGGGTTCTATAATGCCTGACCCCTAGAGATGCACTTCCTCCAGCGAGACCCACCTCCTAAACATTCCACAGGTACCCAAAACAGTGCCACCAGTTAATGAACAAGTATTCAAGTATATGAGCCCATGAGGGCATTTCACATTCAAACCATCACACCTGTTATCCTCCCTGTTATCCTCCTGAGGATTGTCTCAAACTTTCTGAACATTTCTTCCTCTCTCGGCCACCTCTTACATGCTGGTTTCCTTGGGAGCTCTGCCTTAAGCCTCCTCTCTTTCTATCTTACAGCTCCTCCCTCGGCTTCAGGAACATATACCTGCAGATGTTTCCCAAAACAAATCATGCTTCCTAGACTTCTGGCCCAAATATCCAATTTTCTATTCAATAGCTTCTCTAAATTGTCTAACGAACCCTGGAAACCTGACAGCTTACCATTTCTCCTGTTCCCTAACGTTGCCCTCCATCCAGGTTCCCCATTCCAGAAGCATGGCACCACCATCCATCAGATTGTGCATGCCTTTCACACTCCACAGCCAGATGAGTAGAAAACCAGATCTGTGAGGGCGGAGTTCTAATTTCTGTCTTGGCTCATGATATGAACCCAGTGCCCAATACACTGTAGGTACTCAATAAATAGTTGTGAAATGAATAAATGAATGGATAAATGAATGAGTGATTCAAATCCAAAATCTATCCACTCCTCCCCACCTCCACCTCTACTGCTCTAGTCCAAAGAACCACAGTTTGTCTTCTGAAACAACTGCTATCCCTCCCTTGAGGACAGTCTCCAGACTGCTACCACAAATAGGGTTTTCTAGGAAAATCATGGTGGAGGGGTCGCATGCGGGTGCATTCACACATGTGTGCACATGCATGTGGAGCCAGTAGTGGGCATGAGGTGTCTTCCCACTTCTCCATGTCTGTGCTGGGATTTTTTCTGGTTTGAGCTTGCATATGACTTGTGCATGCTGTCACCATCACTGTTGAGTTCATATAAGTAACTGACCAGCCATCTGGAAGACTCTGTTTCCTTGTGTTCATTCACTTTCTCTGACTCTTACAATCTTTCCACATCCTCTTCTGCAATGATCCCTATGAGCCTTGAGAGGCAGGGGTTTGAAATAGGTGTCCTATTTGGGGATAAGCACTCTGGAGCCTCTTGTCCTCTGCACATTGGCCAGTTGTGGGTTGCTGTGTTAAACACTATCTGCTGCATAAGGAAACTTCTCTGCTGAGAGCTAAGAGATGCATTCATCCTAAGTGTAGAGGTTGTATTGAGGATGTGTCACTTAGGGTTAAGTGTCTCACAGACATGTGTTCTCTGCATTTGACCAATTCTGGAATTGTAATATTCTCCATCCATCTGTTGCAATAAGAAGCTTCTTTGATAAGGGATGAAAGGTACGCTTGTCTATAAATATGAGGATGCACACTTAGAATAAAGAAATTACACTGGTCTAGGGATGTGGAAAAAGTAGGTTTTTCTCTAGGATCTATGACCTCTTCAGCCATGTGTATTTGGTTATATTTACAGTACCACCCATGAGCCGTATGTCCAATTAAAGAGGTATTGATTACCCCCAAGATAAAAGTGCCAGTCCTGCACCAATAGGGATAGTTTGCTGGGCCAGTCATTTTTGTTTATTAGGCTTCACAACTGGGTAGGACCATTAACTGATTTTTCTCCCTTGGCAGCTTGCATAGTATCATCTAATACTTTGAGAGCTAATCTTCAGGGAAGAAGCTTCTAGGTCAGTTTCAGTTCCAGCTCCATTGCTCCAAGTCCTGTATCTGAAGTGTGTCCCGTCTTCAGCAATAGGATCTTACCTTCAAGTTCTGGGAGGAAATCAAGGGCTGTGGCAATAGCCTGTGTTATTTGGGGAGTCTCTTCGACTACACTGACCAACAATTCAAAAGGAGGTGTCTCCTGCCCGGCACTGTGTTTTTTGTTATATAACCTTCAGCTATACACATGTACTCATATGTTTATTGTATGTGTATTTTTCAGTAGGACTTTGAACTAATACCTTTTCCTGTGATTTTAAATCCAACACAAGTGTCACTTCCCCTATGACAACTTCCTCTTTTGCCCAAAGTTAGTTCTTCCTGACAGTCTGCTTCCCAAATGCCAGCGTTGTTTTGTTAAAAGAGGTAAAAACAAGTTTGAGCATTTTGGCAAGGTTGGTTACATGTATGTGCAGTGAAGAAACGGACTCTGAATTGTCTACATGGAAGGGTTTCTTGCAGTATGAGGGAAAAGTTACATTTCGTTGTACACTAAGGTATGGGAGAGTTAATATTCAGTTCCTTTTGGGGTGATGAAAACATTTTGGAGTTAATTACTAGTTGATGAATGCATATCAGAATGAGAATACTAAAGGCCACTGAAGCATACACTTTTAAATGGTCACTTTTAAAGCATACACTTTTAAATACTTTATGAATTATATCTCAATTTTTTAAATGCTTTTAGACCTCATATTTGGAATAACACTTGGTTACTCAAGACAGTTTATGTTCAGTGGTCTACAGTTTCTTCCTTGGTCATTGTTAATTATATTGTAGGTCAAAATCAAGGTACCTCATAGAATTGTGGGAATGTATAGATTTGATTATGACCCATGATATCAATATTTCTCAGTCAAAGCTCAGGGCTGGGATGCAGCTCGGTGGTGGAGCCCTAGCCTAATTATGGGCAAAGGACTTGCGTTCAGTCCCAAGCACTGAAAACAATTCTTTCTCAGAGCATTGTAATGGTAGCTACCAAGCTGTCCTATACCATAGTGCATCTGTTTACCACAGACTGAACATAAGAGAGCAAAGACTGGCAAAGCATATTAAATTTGAATTTCAGTGCCCATAAATCTTGTGTGTTTGCATACCCACATGTTAGTAGGAATGAGTGTTTCTGTGTGTAAAGTGGCCAGAGGTGAAGATCAAGTGTCATTCCTGGGTAGCTCTTCATTTTGGGTTTTTGAAAGAGGTCTCTCACTGGGACCTGGGGCTCACTGATTAGGCTAAGGCTGGCTGGCCATCAAGCTCCTGGGATCTGTCCCCCCTCCTCAACTCTTGGATTAAAAGCACATGCCTGGTTTTCTACATGGGTCCTGGGGAATGGAACTCGGGTCCTGATGCTTGCATAGCAAGCACTTTACAAACCGAGCTAACTTCCCAACCCCCAAATGAAGTTTCATTGAAACAATCACACCCATCTGGTTACTATTGCCCATGGCTGCTTTTGCATGTGGATAGAGGCCTTGTGTCCTGCAAAATCTGAAATATTTACCCTCTAGCCCTTAAAAGAAAATGTTTGCTGATTCTTGCTCAATAGTTAAGAGTTTAGCAGATTATATTTGCAGGAGGTCATTTCAAGTCACAGCAAGCACAGGGCTGAATCCCCAGCACCTGGCTCTGCTTGGAGACACACCTCCACTGCACGGTACTGGAGTTTTCTCCTCTGTAACCTGAGAGAACTTGGCAGAAAAATCTCCTGCTCTTAACTGTACATAGTGTGTGTGATGATTTCAGTCTGTTCGATAGCTCCCAGGTGGGCAATGCAGTAAAAGTACAGAGCTCTGGTCTCATCTGAAGCCACTGAGCCACTGAGTCACCGTACCATACTTGATTCTGACACAAAGACAGAAAAGTCACTGTGTCCATTCAGAAAAGATTGGAGAAGTGGCCCTCTACCAAGTTCAAAAATTTCCATTTTTTTGGTCACTTGCATGCAAGCACCCTAGATTTCTAGATTATGTAACCCGATTCCTTTAACCCCAGGGGAAAGAAAATGGACACAAAACTAGAGGAAGGCTGGCAAGGGATGGAGGGGAGAGGCTGCCGACCCCCAAATTTGGGTTTTCACGGTGGAATCTAGCGCTTACCTCTGCTCTGTTCCAATTAACCAGGTACTTGACATCTTTCCAGTTGCTTCAGCCACAGGGAAGACTCGTTGTATCCCTTTCTGTTTTCTCAATACTAACATGTGGTTCTTTATCTCCAGCCCAAGAGATCACGGGTTGTCAGCACTGGCACACCAGCCTGGGGTCTGTCACTATGGAACTAAGCTGGCCTGCTGCTACGGCTGGAGAAGGAACAGCAAGGGAGTCTGTGAAGGTAATTTTTGTGAAAATTCAGACCACTCTGCAATCGGATCAGGATATTTAGTGTTTCTTAAATCTGTGATACCACTGCTGGCAGATTCCCCAAAGTAGGGGCATGGATAACTACCAAGCCCGAGGCCTCAGTTCCAGTGCAGTCTCTGTCTAGCCAGAATGGCTGACCCCATTACACTAGATTGGGATTTATTTAAAAGACTCTCTTGTCCATTATTTCCGTTATGATATTAGCAAACAAAGCTAGATTTTTGTTTTATTTTCTTTGAATAAATTCTTTGAATTTATTGAATTTTTGTGATTTTCATACAATACAGTTTGGTGTGATAAGAATAGGAGATAGGAATTGGCTAGGCAGTTAGTATAAAAAGATCCCAAAGAAAAGTAACCAGTTTCGTTTTTATTTTATCTGTAGAAATTGAGATGGGCGAAAAATGGGCCCATTAACTCCTAATTAGTTTTTTTCAACATATTTCCAATGAAACACACAATTATTAATCATCTAACCAGTTGGCTCTTTCTGGCTATAAAAAAATGTAGGCATTGGGGCTGGAGAGATGGCTCAGCGGTCAAGAACACTGGTTGTTCTTGCAGAAGACCTGGGTTCAAATCCCAGGACCCACATGGCAGCTAACAACTGTCCGTAACTCCAGTCCCAGGGGATCCGACAACCTCTTCTGACCTCTGCGGGCATTGCACTACATGGGTGTACTTACCTACATGCAGACAAAACACACATACACATAAAATAAAAACAATAAATATTTTTTGTAAAAAATGTAGGCACCTGCGGATGTCAAATGCCTGATGCTCAGCTCCTGATCTGTTAAACATGTCAAACACATGATTGAATGCTCTATAAATACATTAAAATGTTAGCTATTTTAGGGGTAATGACACCTTGTCGGTCTGTCCCTGGCCCAAGCTCCATCTTTCTAACTAAGCCCCCAAATATCTAGATTAATAAGCTGCTGGAGGACAAGCAGTCATTTTTTCAGTGGTTTAGCCACTGATAAGTTGCCCATGATCCAGGAAATGACCCCCACACACCCATGCTCAAGCAAGCAACCCTAATTAAAGTCAGTGTATCATAAGAAAAAGCAAGACATGAAACCAGGAGACTTGTTCGGAAGGAAGAAAAGGGGGTTCAGAGGGAGTGGGAGAGGGATGAAAGAGGGTATAATAGGAACTGAATATGATCAAAATACATTATATACATATTAAATTGTCAAAGAATAAATAAATTTTTAAAATATCTAGATTGCCCCTAGTTGAGGACAAAATTTGATAATATCTAGAATCCATGAAACAACAGAGGACGTACTGCTTCCACAAGTCTCATATTATGCAAAGCCTTCAGCCATCAGAGATTCTTTGCAATACAAGAATGTGGAGATGCTAAGAAAAAAAAATGAAGATCATCATTGCCCATCCAGTTAAAGGAAGTTTGCGTGTCCCTCTGGGATCTCTGTCAATTAAAATGATAGAGGGTTGGTGCTATAGCTCAGTTGGTAGAGTGCTTACCTAACATGTATGAAACCCTGAGTTCCATCCCCAGCAGCATTAAAGCCAAGTGTGGTGATGCACTCTTGTAATCCCAGCACTTAGAAGGTGCAGGCAGTGCATCCCTGTTTAGCATGGGAGAAGCCAAAGTGGTCTGCGTCCCAATTCCCCATTGGCAATTTGGGTAACCTCTTCAGAGGATGGTGTGATAAGAATAGGAGGTAGGAATTGGCTAGGCAGTTAGGCTAAAAAGACCCCAAAGAAAAGTAGTCAGTTTCTTGGTTAAAAGTCAAAACGTCCTTGGGCCTCTTAGCAACATACCCTGTTCCAAAGGCCAAAATTGTCTAAAGTATTTGGGAGCTCTTATCTAATCCTTAAAAGATTTTAGGGTTACCTCCTCAGAGGGGGAAATGTTAGAGCAACAAAAAGCCCCATTAAAAAAAAAAGAGTACAGGAAGATGTCAGGAAAAAGAGATGGGGAGATATGGGAGGAGCTGGAGGGGAGAGAGTGGGCATGGATTTGATCAAAACACCTAATATGCATGTGTGAAATTTTCAATAATTTTTATAGTAAAATTAATTAATTAATTAATTAAGCATAAAAAGAAGGTGCAGGCAGTACCATCCTGAGCTGCATGGCTACACGAGACCCTGTCTAAAAAAAAATCCTCACTCTGATTAGATTTATCATGATCAAAGTCATTGCACACTGGATGGATGTGAGTGACCTTGTACAAAGTAGTAAAGTTCAGCAAGGGTCCATTTCCTCCTCTGCAACATGAGATGGCAGTACCCCTTAGGAGGCCCAGAGTGAAAGTTCTAAAAGGTATGCGTACTGCCTGGCACACAAAGAAAATACCCCATAAATTACCACTGATTCAGGAAGGACCCATGACTGTAAGTCACACTTCTGTCCTTCAAAGCACCGGGTGATGGAAGCATTAAACATGACTTTGTTCTTTACCTAGACACAACATAATACATTCTTTGAAGGCAGTCAGGTGGAAAGTGGTAAAAGCCACGTGAGACACATGACTTGGAATCTCTTACCGTCCCACAAACACCTATTGCCATAAAACTCAATCAGACCCAGCAAGCCAGTGGTGATAAATGACGGGAAAGCTTTGGTTCTATGCAAGGGCTATTCTTCAACTGGATTGGAGCAGTTTGGCCACAGTATGCACAGCCAATCACATTCTGAGTCCTTTTATGTACTACATACCACAGACGTGAAAGAATCTGAAGCAAGAGGTTAAAAGATCCAGTGTAGAGTATTTAAATAAAATGTTCAAAATGCAGGTTTTACTAGTTCAAGATCATCAGCAATTCTGTTGCCCTTGTTGAATACAGTTTTAAATTGCAATGATTTTTAGGTCTAAAGTCTGTATTATATTTTAGCAAATTTGCCTGTCCCTTCCCTTTTTATGTAACCCAAGCTGGCCTGAAACTCTCTAATGGAGCTGAGATTGACCTTGAACTTCTCATCCTTCTTCCTCCACTTCCTGAGTGCTGGGCATAGTAGTCACGCGCCACCACACCCAATTTATTTGGTGCTTGGGATGGAGCTAGGCAAGCACACTACCAAGTGAGCTACATCCCCAGCTCCTGCATGTTCCTTCTTGATGGTAAAGTCATATGTTCCTAGAAGCACGAAATAACAAGGGTAGTTACTCCCCCATTACTGGGTTTCTTATTTCTCTGCCAGAGTGTGGGCTGTGCAGTAAGGAGAACATGAGTCATCCTGCCCCAACAAGCAATGCCAGACCCTAGCCTGGGAGGTCCCAGTCCACACAAGCTTCTCTTCCATGTTTGTCCTTCATTTCTCTCAGGAGCCTGCATCCATGTATACTGGAGCTTTCCAGCTCTTGGCCTCTGCCTGTCAAAATCTGCTCTCAGAGACAGAGTCTGATCAAGTCTGTATCAGTAACCTCAAAATATATGCCACTTTAGTGACATGGAATAAAGCGCTGTCCAAGAAGACATCCCTCATGAAAAACTGCAGGTGGAGGAGTTTGGGGGAGAAATGAGCACAAGAGTTTGACTTTGTGCAAAGTGTGTTTTCAGTCTCTGGCTGTTTTAGACACAAACTGAATTTCCCTTTGCTGTGGATTGACTGTTCTGGTCACAGATCCAAAGTCATTGTAAATTGAAAACATCTTTCTGAAGTTTCGGCCTTAGCACACCATTTCTCCTGTGTGCCGTTTGGCATTCATCCTGGACTATTCTGTCTGGATCACATTGCAAATCAGCTTCCAGGGAGCAATCATAGGTCTTTGCGGCTTAAAAAAGACAGAGATTTATTTTTCTAACATCTGAACTTAAAGCTGTATCACCAAATCCATGGCCATAACAAAGGAGACACTGGAAATGAAATTCTATCTCCTTACTCTCTAGAATTGGAAAAAAAATTGCTGAGAAAGCTTCTTTCTTTTTTTTCTCTCCTTCTTAGTTATGACTTGTTCAGAACCAAAATGTTTTCCTGTTAAAATTTATATGTATATTGCTTTATTCACTATTGAAAAAAAAATTTCTGCCAGGCATGGTGGCACACATCTTTTAATCCCAGCACTGGAGAGGCAGAGGCAGGCTGAACTTTGTGAGACCAAAGTCAACCTGATCTACATAATGAGTGAGTTCCAGGACAGCTGGGGATATAGGGAGACTCTTTCTTTAAAAAAATAAAACAAGTGGGGGTGGGGCTGGAGAGATGGCTCAGCAGTAAAGAGCACTGCTCTTGAAGAGGGCCCGAGTTTGGTTCCCAGCACCCACATGGTGGCTAACAACTGTTTTTTCTCCAGTTCCAGGGGATCCAACACCCTCTTCTGACCTCTGCAGGCATAACACAGCATGGGTGCACATACCTACATGCAGGCAAAACACCCATACACATAAGAAATAGAGATAATAAATAAAATATTTAAAAAATAAACAATTTTTTAATTTAAAAAGAGCTAAGGATATATCTCAGTGATAAACCACTTGACTACAATGCACAAGCCCTGGGTTCTATCATTAGTATACACACACACACACACACACACACACACACACACACACAGCATGTGCCTATGTGAGTTCACAACACTGTATAAAATGCTGCAGGAGAAACAATGGTGATTTTTCAGTGATTCTAGGCAGGCACCAAGAATCCAGTACTAGACAGAAGTTAGGATAGAAGATTAATACTGCCTAATTATTTCAACAACAGAAAAACGGATCAATTTCACAAAAGGTTTGCTAAAGTTCTGAGGAAGTCTCAAGTTCCAAGGGATTATGGAACACCTCTCAAAATGTCCTGTAACTGTGGTTAGTCACCTGTCCTCTTGTTCAGGGAGGCCATGGACACCCCACCTGATAGACTTGAACCAGTGTCCAGTCTACAAAAAGGAGGGTCAACTCAGAGGAAACATTTCCTCCATGCTTCTAAGCGAAGCCAGCCATGGTCGAGCAGGACATTTGACTTATCTTCACATAGATGGAACTGGTAAAAGAATGGAGCCAGGGGCTCCTCCAAAGCCCATGTGACCCCTGAGGAACAGATCCTCAAACCGCCTTAAGTGTAAATATGAATTGATTTATTTGGGCCAACTGTATGGTCTTAAACACCCAAAAGGAAATGTTAACCAAAGAGTAAAGTAGCTGGTATATTTCTTTAAGAGTTCAAGATATTATACTTCTCAGACATTAGGCTTAAGTCCATATAAAAAGTTATTTAGACAATTATTTCTCATTGGTGATTTTGTTCTGAATCAGAAAGTGCTGCTAAGATGTAAGACTTCAGATCTTGGTCTCCAATACTGTAGTGCCCACCTGTAGCTAAGGGAGACAACCAGCTATTGTTCTAAAATGATGGATAAATTTGTTTTCTCCCCCTATCTAGAAACCTTTGAAAGGGAACTGATACTGATTCTAACCACTCCAACAGCTATCAAAATGCCTGAAAGCAAATCCTGAATCCATCACTCTCGAGTCCGATCTTAGAAGACAAAAGAAAAATGACCAGGAACCCAATAGAGGGATGCTTTTGGAAGCTCTCATCAAGAAATTCTAATGAACTCTCATATGAACATTTGAAATTTGCCCTATTCTGACTTTTTCCTAGTTCCCTGTCTAGAACTTGTAATGCTAATTCCTCTTGCCTTTACTTCTTCACATCTCCTATTCACAGGTCAAAGGCTTTCTTTTCCCCCTACAGATAAGAGTTATGCAATTTGGGAGCCTTTTATATAGACCCACTGAAGGCGTACCCCAGTTGCCTCATGCTGAGTCACTGTTCAACATGGAAGAAGCCACAGCAGTCTATGCCCTGATTTCCTATCCTCAAGTTGGGTAACCTCTTCAGAGGACGGTGTGATAAGAACAGGAGGTGGGAATTGGCTAGGCAGTTAGTATAAAAAGACCCCAAAGAAAAGTAGCCAGTTTCTTGGCTAAAAGTCAAAATGTTCTTGGGCCTCTTAGCAATGTACTCTCTTCCAAAGGCCAAAAATATTGAAAGTATTTGGGAGCTCTTATCTAATCCTTAAAAGATTTTAGTGCTATGTCTTCAGAGGGGGGAATGTTAGAGCAGCAAAAAGAAGAAAGTACATGAAGTTATCAGAAAAAAGTAACGGGGAAATATGGGAGGAGTTGGATGGGAGGGAGTGGGCATCGATTTGATCAAAACACCTTATATGATTATATGCCTGTATGAAATTCTCAATAAATTATTTTTTAAGTACTGAGAAAGTCTCAGAGTCAGATAGAAGTTCACACACAGCTGGAGAAATCTGAAGGAGGAGCTATTGAAGGATTGGGAGGAGGCATTAACCATTGAAGGGTGGGAAGGGCTTTCCCTCAAAGATGAATAATAATAGAGGAAGAAAGTTAAGGGTAAGTCTAGAAAATGGGAGGCAATTTAGTTTGACCACGTTGCTGCTTATATCTAGGGAACAGTATAAACTAAGACCAGAAAAGGAAATAAAGGTCAGATTGTTTCAAATTTGATTTGGTTATGACACCTGTCCTGTGTTCAGCAGGCAGCAAAAATTACATGATGACTCTTGTAATGCTTATGGATGCTTTAATGTGCCTGGCATCAGGATGCCCAGGAGCTCAACCTGAAAAGGAGGTGAACAAATATCCATAGATTGGGTTTTCATAGAAGAAATCTACAAGGCAAAGAAACTAGACAGAGATGTGGCTTCAACAGAAGTCTAGCTTCCTTCTGATCCCACAGTGTGCTCTGTTGTAAACATACACATTGCTTACCAAGAACCAAGGAGATAGGCTGTGGGGCCCCTACATGAGAACAGCACCAATTGTAGGCCATGGGAAAGCCAGGAGAAGGGAGATTTGGGGTAATATCACAGGTGGCTATGGGTAAAGCGGTTTTCACTATCTAGACAGCTGCTTGGTCAATATATGGCTTGGTAGAAATGGGGTGTTTTAACTGATCGGTATGACAACAAGGAAAAATAGAGATGGACTGAGGTTTTGAGTACAGATAACTCGAAGAGCAGTGGTGACATTCACAAAAGAAAGGTTCTGGAGGTCAAAATGTTGGAATCTGTAGAAACAGACTTGCTGTGAGCCACGGACCTGGGTACTTGCCCAAGTGTTACTCTGATGTGTCTTCTGCTTAAATACTTTTATTAATTTTGGGGGTTCATAAGCAGAACTGGCTGGCTATGGTCTGTCAGTTCTTTCTATTTCTTTGAATAGCAGAGCTATGTACTTATATACTAAGCAAATAAGTACAATATGTTGGCACTGACTGGGTGGTGGGTGTAAGGGCTGCTTTGATTCAGAAGATAATTTCCACTGTTGGGAAGGTGAAAATAGACTAGAGCAGGTAGATATTTCTCTGGGAAACTGAAGGCAGTGGACATACACACACATCACCATGTCAGCTACATCTGTCAGAATCTCTTTTCCTTTCACAGCTATGTGTGAGCCCAGATGCAAGTTCGGTGAATGTGTAGGACCAAACAAATGTAGATGCTTCCCAGGATACACCGGGAAGACCTGCAGTCAAGGTCAGTATAACATCCAGGCCCCTAGGACAAACTCCTGACAATTGAGTCAGGGAGGAAAGATGATGCCCAGGATTTCTTTGATGATGGTGTTCAAATCTTCAACATAACATGGTTTCAGGGTGAGAGCCTTCAATCAATCTCTTCTTGACAAATGTGAAAATTTTTGATAATTTCATCAAAATGTCCAATGAAAGGCTTTCTTTAAAACTTAATATTACTAAAGTAATGCACATTCTTTATTTGTTAAAACCCCCCAAAATACTAAAGGTTACAAAAAAAGGGAGCAGCCAGGTGTGGTGGCACACGCCTTTAATCCCAGCACTTGGGAGGCAGACAAAGGCAGATCTCTGTGAGTTCAAGGCCAGCCTGGTCTACATCGTGAATTTGAGGTCAGTTAGGTTACATGGTGACCCTGTCTCATAAAGATGAGAAAAAGAAAGAGAGAGGAGAGAGAGAGAGAGAGAGAGAGAGAGAGAGAGAGAGAGAGAGAGAGAGCTGGGGGTGTGGTTGAGTGGGTAGAGTGTTTGCCCTACATGAACAAAACCCTGGATTCCATTCACAGTACTACATAAACTGGGAATGGTGGTACACACCTATAACCCTAGCACTCAGGACTCAGGAGCTGGAATCAGGAGGATCAGAAGTTCAAAGTCATGCTTGGCTATGTAGTGAGTTCCAGACCAGCCTGTGATACATGAGACCTTCTCTCAAAAAACTGCCCAAGTAAAATCTGGCAGTGTTAAAAGACATTTGGAAGAGATGCTGCTAGCATCTACTGGCTAGAGACCCGGGATGTTTCTAAATATCCTACAAAGCACAGAACTGCACAACAACAACAACAACAACTTTGATCCAAATGTCAATAAGTGCTGATGTTGAGAGACTATGGGACTTATTATAGTGAACAAGAACACCTGTCAGGCTAGGGATGTAGCTCAGGCAGTAAAGTGCTTGACTATCATAGGGGAAAACCTGGATTTGATCCCCAGCACCAAATAAACAGATCATCAGGTCAATGGGGCAAACTCTTGTAATCTCAGCACCTAGGAAACAGAGAGAGTAGGATCAAAGATTCAAGGCCACCCTTGACTACATAGGGAGTTCTTGGGCTACAAGAGACCCTGACTCTAAATACATACATATATACATACATACATATATACATACATACATACATACATACATACATGGCACTTTGGTGAAAGGTCCTGATCTTGGTAATAGACTAGAAGTTTTAAATAAGGTGATTTTGTCATTCAAGAAACATGTGGCAATGCCTGAACACAATTTTGGTTGTCACAGATAGGGACTGGATTGCAACTGGTATCTTCTGAATCAATCCCATCACTGCTGTGAAACTTTGTACAACACAGAAAGCCCCCATATGAAAGAATGATCTGGACTCAAATGTCAACAGAGGTAGAGAAACCCTGGTATAAAGAGAGTTGCACTAATTAAGAAAGTATCCCTATTCCTATAATGAAATTGAGCAAAAACAGCAAATCAAATTTACGTGCCCTTAAGAGAGGCTTCCAGGGGACTGGAGAGATGGCTCAGTGCTTAAGAGTTCAGATTCCAGGAGCTGGAGAGATGGCTCAGCAGTTAAGAGCACTATCTACTCTTGCAGAGGACCCAAGTTCGGTTCCCAGCATCCACATGGTGGCCTAGAACCATAACTCCAGTTCCAGGAGATCCAACGCCCTCATGGACATTGCACAACATAGGTTGCACTTAAATACATATAGGCAATATGAGTATACACATAAAATAAAAATAAATCCAAAAAATATTCAAATCAAAAGAGTTCAGACCTCAGCATCTACATAAAAAAGATGGGCATGATGGTACCGGTTTGTAATCTCAGCCCCAGGGACACAGAGACAAAAGGCTTCCTGGTACTTACTGGCCAGGCCAGCAAGCTTAGCCTAATCCCAATGAGACACACTGTCTAAGAAAACAAGATGGATCACACCTAAGGAATAACACCTGAGGTTGTTCTCTCTCTCTCTCTCTCTCTCTCTCTCTCTCTCTCTCTCTCTCTCTCTCAAACATGCACCCAAACCCACACAAACACATATACATACACACAACTCACACACAAAGAATCATATGCTCATAAGTGATAATTCAGCTTTATCATTTACCAGAAGCTTCAAATAAGAAGACTTGTTTTTCCATAGGTTTTAGATTCTGGCCAAGATACTTTCTGAAGAGGTCTGGAATAAAAGGCATATTTTTCACGCTAATATTAATATTAAAGGAGTGGTCCAGTTGACTCATGCTTTGAGGTTTCTCTCTCTTCCTCCACAGCCTCTCTGCCCCATGGCAGCCTGATCAAAGGCCACATATATCCACTTGTAGCAATAAGCCTCATCCCTCAACTGATGTCTTTCCCAAAAATCCTCTTTCCAGGAGATGAGTGAGTGGGCCCGTGATGGGTTATCCTGGATTTCCCATTATGTCCAGTCAACCCTTTTCAATTTCTCTGCTATAGAGAGGTTGGAGTCTGTGAGGAACGTCGATAGGGTGGAGGGGACAGGCAATGGAGAAGGAAGTTTCAAGTGTTAGAAAATCCTCATACACTGAACTTTTCAAAAGCAGAAGCAGATACTTTTTTTTTCTTTTCAAGGGCACACTCTGCCTGCTGCTAGTTACATTTTTTTGTCTTACATGGTTTTTTTTCTTTCTGTATCTTCCCTGGGGGAGTTATAATGACTGTGCTCCCATGATCATATTTCCAAAAATCCTTTTACCACAATCCCTTTTAATAGTATTCATTTTTATTTATTTATTTATTTATTTATTATTTTTATTTTATGTGTATGAGTGTGTTGTCTGTGTGTATTTAAGTGCACCCATGTTGTGCAATGCCTGTGGAGTTCAGAAGAGGGGATCGATTAGATCCCCCAGAACTGGAGTCACAGATGGTTGTTAGCCACCATGTTAGTGCTGGGAATCAAACCTGGGTCCTCTGCAAGAGCAGGCAATTCTCTTAACCATTGAGCCACCTCTCCAGTCCCCACAATCCCTCTTCTTTAAAGATATTTTTCACTCCTGTGTCTTTTTTTTTCTTTTCTGAGACAAGGTTTCATGTATCTTGGGTTTAGGATGACCTTGAACTCCTGATCCTCCTGCCTCTATCACCTGAGTGCTGGGATTACAGGCATATGCCACTATGCCCGCTTTATGCAGTGCTGGGACTTGAAGCAGGGCTTAGTGCATGCTAGGCAAACACTCTACCAGCGCACCTCCTATATACTTTTCTTATTTTAAGAGAATGTTATTTATCATTAATGTTTAAACCTTTTCTCAGACAACACTGAAATATACAGAAAAAAAGATACCCTCATCATATTATATGGCTAGCATGGAGCATTTATCACCCCAGGCTTTTATTCTTTGGGCATTTGTATTTTGTTTTGTTTATAAGTTCAGGCTTGAACTGTACCCACAGCTTTGTAAGCATGTCTTATCACTTATCATACCCATTAAACACGTTCACATGTATTTAAATGTGCTCCAACTTCACTACCTGCCTGCCAGGATTCTCTCTAGAACCGTCTGAACTATGACAGTTGGCCCAGTCTGGAGCCATCCCAAATCATGACATTGCTGTCATAAAGTGTTTTGGAAAGCATTAAAGGCAAAAATACCTTGTACATATATCAAAATCACACAACTTGGTCCAGTGAGCTAGCTTGGCAGACACAAGAATGACAACTTGAGTTTGATCCCCAGAACCCACAATAGGAGAGAACCAACTTCTGAAAATTGTCCTCTGACCTCTCATGTACCATGGCACTCACATTCACACACACACACACACACACACACACACTCACACACACACACACACTGATAATAATAATACATAAAGTAATTTTAATAAAAAATATACAACTTAATAAATTGACACAAACATCCTACAAACTGGTATTCAAATGAAAAAAGAATATACTCTGCAGCCCCCTCCCCACTCCCTGCCTCAGCCAACTGCCCGTCTAACTACTTCTGCCCCCAACAAGAAAAGCATGGCCAGGCATGGTTTTCGTGCCTATGATATTTAACTGTGGGGAGGCTGAGACAGGAGACTTACTTTGAGTTCAAGGCCAGCCTCGGCTGCATAGTAAGTTTCAGCCTAAGCTACAATGTGAGACCCTGACCGGTGTGTGTGGGTGGGGGTGTGTGTGGGGGGGTGTTAAAAGAAAAAAAAAGAAATGCAATCTTAACTTCATCTACCACAGATCTGTTTTCCTGAAGTTTATATAAATGAAATCAATACAGTATATATGTGTGTGACGTATGTATCCAGTTTATTCTGCTTGGCATCTGTGAGAATTATCCACTGTTGCCTATAGTTGTAGTTTGTTCAATTTAATTTCTGTATAATAGTCACATCATATATCCATCCTGTTGAGATGTATTCCAATTAATTTGGATTGGGTGCTTCTAAGCCTCGTGTTTTTGTTACCATCTTAGTATGTTTTTGTATGTGGTATGAAGACAATTGACATTTCTATTGGTCACCTCTCACTGACTGGAGTTGCTAGGTCATAGGCAAACCTATTTCTAACTGTAGTTTTCCAAAGTGTTTGTAGTAATATGCATTCCATTTGCTCTGCATTCTCACCAATCCTTCCAAATGGAATTTGATGGTTTGAGAGGAGGTAAGCAGTGGGGTACATGGAGGCCTACCCCCCTTGACCTTCCCAAGATTGTCATCTCCTCTCTATCATTTGGATGTTTTCCACCTCAGTTAACTTTCTCCTTTTTATAACTGCCCCTACAGATGTGAATGAGTGTGGAGTGAAGCCCCGACCATGCCAACACAGGTGTGTAAATACACATGGCAGTTACAAATGCTTTTGCCTCAGTGGCCACATGCTCCTACCAGACGCCACATGCTCCAGTAAGTTTCAGCATCCCCATAATATTTAAGGCAAGCCTTTTGATATTTGATGCATGGGAAATGACTGGATTGAGTGATTTTTTTGAGACAGGGTCTTACTATGTAGCCCTGGCTGACCTGGATCTCACTATGTAGACTAGGTTGGCCTCAAATTCACAGAGATCTACCTGTTGAGTGCTTGGATTATAGGCATGCACATTACCATGTCTAGCTTTGAGTGATTTTTTAAAAAATGTATCTCAACCTGAAGATGTTACTTAGTTAGTAGAGTGCTTGCCTAGCATGCACAAAGCCCTGGGTTCAATCTCCAGCACTACAATTGGTGGTATGTGCCTATAATTCCAGTGCTCAGGAGGCGGAGGCAGAGGGACTCAAGAGTTCAAGGTTATCCTCACCTATATATCAAATTTGAGGCCAACCTCTGGATACATAAGACCCTGCCTCACACACACAAAAAGTCTTTAACATCACCTTAGATTGAAATCTCTTTGGGTACTTCTTTTAAATTATGATAAAATATACATATGATAATTTCACCATTTTAACAATCCAAATGTGATCAATTCCATGGCACTCGCTACCTTCACAATGTTCTGCAACCAGCACCACAATCAAGTTCCAGAACATCTCCATCACCCCAAAAGCCCAACCATTGTGCAAGTGAAATAGTTCCTTGAGTAAAAGTACTTCCCGAGAAAACCTGAACACCTAAGTTCAATGCCCAGAAGCCTGAATTGATGGCTCACATCTGTAATAAGAGTAGCCCTACTTGAGATGTGAAGTAGAGACTGGAGAATGAGTAGGAAACTCTCTAGGCATACACAGTGTAGGGACAGGCTTAATAAGACACCTAGCCTCAACAAGGTGGAAGGCTAGAACGACTTCTGAAAGTTGTCTTCTGACCTGCACACATGTGCCACTGCATGCAATTGGACAAACACATGCATGTGCACGTGTTTTAAGAAATAAAATGTAAAATAAAACCTTTTTTAGAAAACAAACTGAACCATTAGCAGCCACTGCTTGCTGCCTTCAGCAGCCAGGAATCTTCTTTCTGTCTCTATGGACACTTGCTTTATAATTTAACAAAGGCCAACTGGGGAAAATCAATTACATCTCTCTATCTATACTCAGAGACCGGTTGGGTTTCATCATGGAACTAAGCATGGTGAGTAAAGGGAGGTGATAAATTTCTACGCCATCCCAGGACATCAATCCTCCCCACCAGCTACCTTTCTCACGCCCCTTGCCCCACTCCCAGAGATTAGTGAGTCTCATTGGAAATGTATTCTGACTCACATCCCTGAAAAGAAAGGTTCTTCTGTGATAATGAAACCCATGTCCTGTGGGAGGGTGAGTGTGTCTGTCCATTCATTTCTTGAGAGGAAAGGCTTTTTAAGTTTTATGTTCCAACTGAAAGACAAAGCTACCCTCCTTGCCTGCTTTTCTCCTCCCCTCCTCTCTCTCCATCTGAGTTTCCCCTCCCCTACTGCCTCCAACAGGCCCTGTGCCTTCAGCCAATTTCCTGGGGATGCAGTCACACAGACTCCTAGCCCATCCTGGGCTTATCGAAGGTCACGCAATCTTGCTGAGTGCATTCTGGATGACCCTGTCTCATCCTCCTCATCCTGTCCCTACATTACCAGTTACTCAGATCCTCCCTTAGCAAGCAAGCTTAAGACATAACACAGACATTTAGAGTATCTTTTACAAATATCTTTATTCTTATAAATTAAACAGAAACCCACATGAAACAAACACAGAGCCTAATGAATTCTTGTAAAGCAAGCACCCTTGTGACTACCACCAAACAGAATTTGGCCAGAACTTCCTTTCCCAAAGGGAACACTTATTTATGCTTTTACAGTGACCACTTACATTTTTTTAAAAGATCGATGCTAATGGATGATTCTGAAACATTCCAAGAGAGCTCATTCAGTGCCAAAAAAGATATCTTTCTCCAAATGGAAGGATAGAGTTATGTTAATTTTAATGACTAAGTTTAAAAGAAGATAACTAAAGAGAAAAGAAATGAGTAATATAAGCATCAGTAGGTATTTGTTTCATTACCTTAAGTCTTGATCGCTTGCACTTTTTCCTCTACATGGGCACCTCCGCATTTATAGCCTAAAGCATAGCCCTCAACCTGAGGACTGATTTTGTTCATCCTGGCCTTTGGTCCTTCTGGGTCACTGATATGTTATGGAAATAGTTGGATGGAGGAAGTATATGGACCAGAATTCTGGTTGTGATCACTGGGCTGAGAGCATAAAAAGGAAGTAGGGAGATGCCTCCATAGATAAAAGCACTTGCCCTGCAACCGTGAAGAGCTGAGTTCAAATCCCCAGAACCTATGTAAAATCTAGACACATAGCGCAGTCCCAGAGCTCCTATGAGGAGCTCTGTGTAGAGATAGGCAAACCCCCAGAAGCTTGTGGGTCAGCTGCCTCGAGTAGTACACAGAGGAAAAAGCAACAAAGTGGCCCTGTCTCAAACAAGGTGGAAGGTGACGACTGACACCCAAGGTTATCTTCTGACCTCCACACAATCACTGTGGCATGTACACACCTGCACTCACATGCATAGACATTCAAGGGCGTGCTCACACATGCACATGCAGAGAGAGAGAGAGAGAGAGAGAGAGAGAGAGAGAGAGAGGAGAGAAAGAGAGATTGCTTTTAGCCCTCATGCGTTATGGCCCACATATATTGAACCTTCACTAAATAGGTACATTTTGTGAAATAATTCATGCAAAGCAATAAGTAAAGGAAAATCCAACAAAAGCATGTCATATATTAAATGTCAGGGTAGCTCAACAAGGACTCAGTCCCCACTGTCCTCAGAGTATTGAATTTATTCTCAAACTTATGACCCTATACATAGTATCATATGACCTCAGCTCCATATGACATGCCCACATTAAAGTAAGCAAAACAAAGGAGATAGAGGTGATTTAATGAACCAATGTTTCTTTCATTCCTGCCCCCTTTTATCATTCAGCCAGGGCTCCAGCCCAGATTCTTAATGGCTTTCCATTTGGGACTCAGTGAAGCCTGTCTTATGACCTATTACATTTAACATCCCAGAATTGGGAGAGAGTTTCTTAGCTAATCTTTGTCTACTTTTGCAGACTCTAGGACGTGTGCCAAGACAAATTGCCAGTATGGCTGCGAAGACACTGAGGAAGGGCCACGTTGTGTGTGTCCATCACCAGGACTCCGCTTAGGCCCAAATGGAAGAGTCTGCATAGGTAAAATAGCAGCTGTTGCTTCCATTTCCCCTCCTCCGTGACTCTCCTCCTCACTGAACTCCTTTTTCAGTCATCACAATGGGCTTGCTGACTAGACGCTATGAATTTTTAAAAGTACATATCTCTATTTCTGAGTTATCTTTAGCCATTTATGCTCTACACACACTTTTTTATCTTTTTTTTGAGACACGGTCTCCCTATAGCCCCAACACTCCTGGAACTCACCATGTGAACCAGGCTGGCCAAGATCTCACAAAGAGCCTCTGGGATTTAATCCCAAGTGCTGGGATTAAAGGCATGCACCACCACGCCTAACTTCTACACGTGCTTTGAGGAGGATGTAAAAAACATTCTTCTAGTATTCTATGTTGCCCAATGCCATATGGGTAAGGATAAAGATTATTCTTATTTCACTATATTTCCCTGCGTATCTTCAATTGACATCCAACAGACACTCCATCATTCATTCAACAAGTTAGATCTTATGAGCCATTGAAACTTATTTCAACTTCTAGTTAACATTTTCCTGGAAAAAAATGGATTTACTCTTCCCACTAGAATTACATTAGTGAAAATACTATATGCCTCTTATAATGTTTAGGACACCAATTTAGACACTATTTCATATTCTCTTTAAAACTTGCTCTAGGGGCTGGGGATATAGCCTAGTTGGTAGAGTGCTTAGCTAGCATGCATAAAGCCCTGGGTTCTATCCTCATCACCACATAAACCAGGCATGGTGGAGTATACCTGTAATCTCAGCACTCCAGAGTCAATAGCAAGAAAATTGGAAGTTCAAGGACATCTTCAGCTACACAGCAAGTTCATGGGGTACATGAGACTCCATCTCAGGAAAAAAACATGCTTTAAATTATGTAAACTAGACAGTGCATCCTTATTCTAACTAGACTAAATGAGCACATAAATCAATGCTCATCAAGGGGCATTCAAGCCCTTCATTTCTACCTGGGAATTTAATCAAATCTGTGACCTAGAACTTTGACCCCTTGTTTGCCCTTGTCCTATTTCATAGCTTAGTTTCTGGGTCCACAGAAGCTGAGCAAATAGTTGATTCAGGAGGTGATCCCAGGAAACACTGGTTGAGGACTTAGAATGTGACCCAAGGAAAAGAAGGTACCCATGCCATGTGAATTCAGTGAGCAGGTTCGGTGAGCTCTGGTTGCCTCCAGGAAAGCAAATGCATTAGTTGTTTTTCTCACTGCGGTGATGAAATATTTGACAAGAAGCAACTTAAGGGAGAAAGGGTTTATTCTGACTTACAGTCTGCAAGGTTATAGACTCTCAAAGTGGGAAAAGCATAACAGCAGGAACGTGAGATGATGCAGCTGGTCACATTACATCCTCAATCAGGAAAAAAGGGCTTACCAGAAGTGGGACCAGGCTATGAAATCTCAAGGCCTGCCTCCAGTGACTCACTTCCTCCAGAAAATCTCCATCTCCTAATGGCCCCACAATCTTCCCAAACACTACCACCACCTAGGGACCAAGTGTTCAAACATGGGAGCCTGTAACAGATATTTTACATTTAAACCACACCACTGACAACAAAGTACCTCTAGATTTTTGCTCTGGAGCAAGGGTGCTGGGCATCTCTCCATCATCCTGTCCTCTTCACTCATGGGAGGTTGCTCCAGGGTTAGACTCCCCAGTTCCCCCAGTCTGGTCCAGGAGAAGAGCAGAACAGAATGTCACTAGCCTAGTAGGCAACTTATGGCAGGTATGGATATATTGATGGCAGGGGGGCTATGGATGAGGCACCCTCAGTGGCCAAAACACCATTTTACCCACTTTTGCACTTTGGTTACTTTGTGAATTTGAATGATGTTCAACTATAAAACTATATGTACTCCTAACAATTGTATTGCATGAAATATACACAATATTTAGATCAGGTGAACACACAGCCTCAATAAGGGATAGCAAATGAACCCAGAACACTGAAGATCTTTGTTTCTTGTATTTAAACAAGCAAATAGAAATATGATTTTATAACTTTACTCCTTCAATGTAATAGAAATACTTTTCAGTCAAGATTCTGGAAATTTATCTTAAATAGATATAATTTGAGAAACTGCATCTATTTTTTAATATATATATATTGAATATATATGGAACTGCATTTATATTCAGCCATGTAGGTCCTAAGTCAGTGAAACATTTAAGATATGCGTGTGTATTGAATTCTGTCTTCATTTGATGGTAATCAAATATTTAATTGGGTTCACAGAATTTAGTATCTTTTAGTGTATGATTCACCTGATATAGCTAAATATTGCCCAAACTTAATTCAGATCTTTACTTACCTCTTTGGTTGGATGCCATTTTAACCAAAAGGGAGAGATGATGCTAATGAAAATGATCACTGAACAATAACTTTGACCAAACCAATACTTATTTCTGATTTTTTTAACAATGCAACAGAAGAGCTGAGGTGATAACTCAACTGGTAGACTGCTTGCCTTGCATGCATGTGACCCTCAGTTTGATCCACAGCACCAAAAAAGAAGAAAAGAATGCAATGAAAGCAATAAGCCAGCATCAAGTTGCATATTTAACCCAAGGCCCGCCTATTTGTTATCTGGAAGAACAGCAATGCCTGAGTCTTAGTGGATTGGTCAGCATAGCTGCCAGCACTCTGTGTAACATCAGTCTCTTGGTAGAAAAGGAACATGCTTATTGGCTAAAATTGCCTCATTACACAATTATACATGATTCACAACTTAGGTAGAACTGCAGTCTTACACAAGCATAATGACTTGATTCAGTTCTATTGGAGTTTAAGAGAAGCTTGCTGTTTAATGCTTTTGCAAAATGCAAGTCTTAACTTTGTGTATTTGGTTTGCTCTGAGTGTAGCTGATTCTACTTTCAAGAACGGTAGGTTATACAATATAATTAGTAACTGAGGAAAATATTTATTCACGCAGTACACATGTAATGTACAGTTCCAAGTGTCACATGCACACACTGTCCCAGAACAGCTGGGGCATAACACAAAAGCAAATGTGAGAGCTGTGGAGGTACCTCAGTTGGTAGTGGACATGCCTAACATGCACAAAGCCCTGGGTTACAATTCCAGTACCACATAAACCAGATGTGGTGGTGCACATCTGTAATCTCAGTACTTAGCAAGTGAAAAGAAGAGGATGAGAAATTAAAGGTCACCCTCAGCTACATATCGAATCCAAAGCCAGTCCAGGATACATGGAGAACCTATCTTTTAAAAAAAAAAAAGGCAGATGGGGTTGGAGATGTTGGACAGACGGCTCAGTGGTTGAGAGCACTTGCTATTCTTCTAGAGGAACTGGGTTTAATTCCTAGCACCCACAAAGTAGTTAACAACTATAGAAAATCCAGTTCCAATGGATCTAACACCCTCTTCTGGCCTCTGCTGCATGCATATGGTGCACTTACATATATTCAGGCAAAACAGTCATACACATAAAATAAAAGTAATAAGTAAAATATATAAAAAGAGAAGATATGAATACAAGTAATGACATTGCAACCAGCCGGATAACACCTCCAAGAAAAGACAAGCATAGTGATAAAAACACACAGTGTTAAGTGCACATGATAACCGCTGTGCTACTTGGATAGGACATCTATATCAAACCTCTACCACCCAAGGCTCATGGACCACTGCAGAAGAACAAGCAGAAAGACTAAGAGCCAGAAGTGGAAACAGATTTCCAGACATCTAGGAAGTTACTCATATAAACTCACAGCAATGGTAACAGCATGTACAAGTCCCATGCAAGCTCAAATCAGGCAAAATCCCAGCAGAGAAGTGGAGAAGTGGGGAAGAAGCCCCAACCTTAGCTGAGGAACTATAGGCAGCCAATGACTCCTGGGGAGGGAAAGTCAGTTTTCTTTAAGGGTGTGGTGCTAGATAGGTTAACCCGGCTTCAGTGGAAAGATGCATACCAAGGGAAATTTGGGGACTCTAATTTGACTGGCTAGGCCTTAATACATATGACAGAGTACATGAAATCCAGAACAGGAATGATAAGAGGCTATTAGGGAATGGGGTCTAAATGTAATCAAAATATATTGTATAAAATCCACAAAAATTCAATAAAAAATGGAAAAACAAATGTACAAAGTGAAGAGCTGTGTGTGTGTCTGGTGAAGATCTAAAGTACTTTCATAAGATAAGATACAGGCACCAGATAGTTTTATCCAGGCAAGGAAACTGCAAACATGCATGTGCAGTGCATGCTGGAGGTTGGAGGAGTACATGTGCTCGTATATGTATTGGAGTACTTTTTGCTCTCACCAACACCTTCTGCTCTTATACCCTAGATATCGATGAATGTGCTTCTAGCAAAGCCATCTGCCCTTATCATCGAAGATGTGTGAACACATTTGGAAGCTACTACTGCAAATGTCACATTGGTTTTGAACTGAAATATATCCGTCGCCGATATGATTGTATAGGTAAGATCCAGGGTCTCCTTTTGTACCTTACCTCCAAGCCTGTGGGCTTTCTCTACAGATATTGTTTATGTCAATTCAATCTACTATACTGAACATCTTAACAACATGCAAAGAGTTCTTTTAAGTGTCTGGCATTTAGGGAACTCCAGTGACATCAGTCCATAATGATTTAAACAAAGGAATATAACTGTTATGGAGGCGCATAGCTTAAGATGATTTCTGTGGGATCTTTTTTAAATTCATTAAGTTTCATTCCATCTACATGTTTGCTTCTACCTCTAACTACACATCTAAAATGGGAGCAATAAAGAGATGCTTATATATGATGAAAGAAGACTAGGACACCTCAGTGGTCTATTCCTAACAGTTACTAGCAGAGTGACTTTAGAAAATTTTGTACAAAGGTGGCCAGAGAGATGGCTCAGTAGTTAAGAGTGCTTCCTCTGCAATCACAGGAATTGGGGTTTGGATCTCAGCACACATGTAACAAGCTGGAGATCCCTGAAAACACCTGTTACCTGAGCTTTCAGGGGGCAGAGACAGGAGGATCACTGGCGTTTGCTGGCTCCCATCCAAGTCAAGAAAATGGGAGCCCTGCAGATTCAGGGAGAGACCCTGCCTCAAACAATAGATGGAGAATGATAGCGGAGGACACCCTACACCCTCTTTTGGCCTTGGCTGTGTACATAGGTACACATACCTGCATGCACAGTGCACATACACTCACATAGACACACACACACACATACAAATCAATTTTTAAAGGAAAAATGCATGAAGGAAGTAAGAGCATATGTTCTTTCCTCTCTCTTCTTTTAGTCCTTTCATAATTCAAGCACCAAATAAAATCATTCTCTGCTAAGACTCTAGCATTCGTCAGCTGTTGGTCTCATCTGTATGAAGTAAGACAGTTTCTCTCCTAGTGGAAGGATTCCAAGCCTAGAAGAGCTTGTGAGATGGGATATTTGGGGAACCCTTGGCTGCATTTCCATCACCTTGATGTACTATCGTATAGTGAAGGGAAACGTGGATTGCCCCTAGATCTCTAGTCACATGACATTGACGACAATGGCGTACGTAAACATGTCATGGGAAGGTAACAGTTGGAGAAAATAAGATTTTTTTCAATCCTGAACTCAGAGCTTCTTGGGACATGTCTTGAACTATCATGTTGGGGCAACACTCCATTGCCAGGTTTTGAGCCATTTTGGGACACCTTCAAAGCTATCACTTCAAATCTTCTCAAGCACAAAGACCACTTAATGCAACCTCATAAAATTCATCTTTGTCATAAGCTTGGACCCCATACGCTCCTGTCAACCCATCCAGCTATATAATCCAATGACTGTGTTACAGTGTCCTCTAGTTCCCTGACACCACAGAGACACTCCCCACAGAACAATTGGGGAATCTACACACAGCTTCACAAGGAAACAAATCAATGACAAGCTAAAAAGTGATAAAGATCAGCATCTGAGCTCCTTTTACGGCTAAATTAAAAACAATAAGCTGTTTTGTGTGCTTACAGCTGCAAATGCATAAGCAGAAAGTGGGGTGGAGAGGAAAGCAAATTCTCACTTGGGTGGAATTTGGCCAATTTTCCACCTCTAAATCCAGCAGACAGCTCAGACCGGGCTGATGCTTTATCCCAGCAGGTTCTGAACAAAATGCCCATGTGTATGAGTTCAGATGATGTCAGTGGTTCCTGGTTGATCCTGTCTTTTGTTTTTGAGATGTCTCAAGTCATCCAAATTTAGAATTTATTTTCTGATGCTGTTATTTAGTTCCAGATTACATGGATGAAAAAGGTAAAGGGAAACCTCCAAACGTCTTAGCAGATTTTAAGCATTAATAATCAGACCGTGAAATTGCTCTAGGGAAGTGATCTACGAACACCCTCTCTATAGATCAGGCAGGAGCCAGGCAAAGCTTGGATTGCTGAGGTGTTGAGTGGTTGGCCTTGAAGTTGCTCAAGTGAAAAGGCTACTGTTCATTGACGTGTTCACATTTTTAGATATAAATGAATGTGCTCTGAGTACCCATACGTGCAGCCCCCATGCTAACTGCCTCAATACCCAAGGATCCTTCAAGTGCAAATGTAAACAAGGATATAAAGGCAATGGACTTCAATGTTCTGGTAAGTAGCATTGCTCGTGGTGATTTTACCATTCTCTCCCACTCTCTCTCTCTCTCTCTCTCTCTCTCTCTCTCTCTCTCTCTCTCTCCCTCTAGCTCTACCTCTATCTCTTGTCTAAATTTAGCTGGGCCTCAGCCTTGTATCTTTTACTAGTTGGACCTCATTTCCAATATTCACTAAAGTTGGAAGCACAGAATTTAAAGAGTGGCCAAGTGTGGTAGCACATGCTTTTAGTCTCAGCACTCAGGAGGCAGAGACAGGAAGATCACTGTGAGATTGAGGCCAGCCTGGTATCATCTACAGAGCGTGTTTCAGGTCACATGGGGCTACATAATGAGATCCTGTCTCAATAAACAACAACAAAACAGAAATAATAGGGGCTAGGGATGTAGCTCAGTTGCAGAATATTTGCCTAACTTTCAAAAAGTTCTGGGTTCCATCCCTAGCACCACATAAACTAAGCATGGTAATCCAAGCACTTGTGGAAACTGGCAGGAAGCTAAATCAATCCTGTGATACAGAGCAATTTTGAGCCCAGCCTGGGATACAGGAGACCCTGTCTCAACAAAGCCTGAAGAAACAGCAAGGGGAAGGGAGGGGTTTACTTCCTATTTTTCTGCTCACAGCATACTTTCATCAGAACTTTATCTACAACAACCAAGACAAATTAGGATGCATCAGACATCACATCTTCTCTCATCTTAAAGTCTAGATTCCTTTTTTATGTATGGCAATGAGATCCATAGCTCATGCCAGTGAATTCTTTAATGGTGGTATGTTAAAACTGTAAATTGGTAAACCACATATATAACTACAAAATGTCACGTGGTTGACAACTAAAACAAAAAAGGTTATTTCTCATGTGTGTTATATTTGAAGAGATGTTTCTCAATATAGTCACTTAGGTACAGATCCAAGCTGACAGAGGCCCCGCTGTCTTATGGTATTAAGAGTTTTTCCCAGCAGGGAAAGAAGCATGGACAATGATATACCAGCTCCTATTAGATCATCTTAGAAATACATAACTTCAGGGGCTGGAGAGATGGCTCAGCGGTTAAGGACACTGGTTGTTCTTACAGAAGACCCATGTTCGAATCCCAGCACCCACGTGACAGCTAACAACTCTCCGTAACTCCAGTTCCACCGGATCCTACAGCCTCTTCTGTCCTCCGCAGGCATTGTACAACAGAGGTGCACTTACCTACATGCAGGCAATACATGCATACACAAAAAATAAAAATAATAAACAAAATTTTTTAAAAAAGGAATATCGGGCCGGGTGTGGTAGTGCACGCCTTTAATCCCCGCACTTGGGAAACAGAGGCAGGTGGATCTCTGTGAGTTCAAGGCCAGCCTGGTCTACATAGTGAGTTCCGGGACAGCTGGGGCTACAGGGAGACCCTGTCTCAAAAAGACCAAAAAAAAAAAAAATCTAACTTCAGGGGTAAAGTAATAATGATGGAGGTGATAGTGGTGGTGGTGATAGTCATGAAGGTGATGATGGTGATGATGATCCTACTCTGTATTCTGAAAGAGAAACAATAGAAACCTTCGCCAGTACCTAGAATACCTGCCATGTCATGTCAGCTATGCTTATAGTGCTGCTGTCCCCTTGTAAATGGAATCCTGCAGTTTAAAGTCAGCTAGTCAATATGGTGATTCTTACCTGTACTCCCACCACTTGAGAGGTAGAGGCAGGAAGATAGGGAGTTCCAGGTGATCTGTGGCTACACGGTGAGTGCAAGACCAGCGTGGGCTACTGTCTCATGTCTCAAATAACCAGTAATAGTAATCAGCATCCAGGTTTATTCGTCTAGTTATGTCCCTGGTAATCCTGGCTCATTGTGTGGCAGCATCCAGGTTTATTCGTCTAGTTATGTCCCTGGTAATCCTGGCTCATTATGTGGCTAGACTCGTGTGTGTGTGTGTGTGTGTGTGTGTGTGGTGGTTCTGTTTGGTTGGTTTGGGTATTCATTGTTATTACTTTTATTCATTATTATTGTGTGTGCATGATGTATGTAGGAGTACACACACCAGGGCACTTGTGTGAAGGTCAGAGGACAATCTTATGGAGTCAGTTCTCTCCTTCTACCTTTATATGGGTCCCAGAGATTAAACTCAGGTCACCAGGTTTGTGTGGTGAATGCCTTTTCCCACTGAGCCATCTCACTGGCCCTGGGTTTGCTTTTTTAAAACAGGGCCTTGGTATGTAGTATTGGCTGTTTGGTACTCACTATGTAGCCAAGGCTAGCCTTGAACTTACCACTATCCTGCCTCAGCTTTCTGAATGCTTGGATTACAGGCATGTGCTGCCACACTGCCCCTAAATTTGTTTACTGCCCTGTGTCAACTGTCTCCTATGCCCCTTGGCAAAGGTCCCACATAGTCCAATAAATACGGCTGTAAGTTGTACCTAACCTGCCTCATGTCCTGTGCCTCCATCCAGCCAAGACTCCTAATGATGCAAATGGTTGTCACAGAGCATCTACTCAATCATGCAAAAATAAACACCATGTGCTATTATAGACATTCAGTGGCACACTGATAAAAAGTTCACAGTATCCAAGTGGGTTATGGCTGAGTACCATTGCACAACAGTGGACGCAAAAGAATACAACCAAAGAAATGAGTCTGAAAATCAAATTTTATGAAGAACTGCCAAAAGAACAGCACATTTGTTTTGAAGAAAAATAGTGTGGAGAAGCATAAATTGTGCCTGGAAATAGTGTAAGAAATGTGAAACCAAACTGGCTCCCAAGGAGACTAAAATCAGTGGGTGGAAGTTCCAGTCTCTTGTAAAACTGACTAGAAAGAATCTAAGAGTAGAATGGAGCACATTACACAATACTAATGTTATAAGCATGGGTAAGAGTCCTAAGGACACCTGCTAAGATTCCATGGTTCTTGTGGCACAGAACAAAGAATTGGACCAGGGGGCTGGGAAGATGGCTCATTGGGTAAAGCACTTTCTTTATAAGCACAGAGACAAAAGTTCAGATCCCCATAACCCAAGAAAATACTGGGCAGGCATGGAAGCCTGCCTGTAGTCCCAGTGCTTTTGAAGTGGAGAAGCTAATCTAGATGACTTAGTGAATTCTGGGTTCGAGAGAGACTTTGCCTCAACATAGAAAATGGATAGCAATCAAGGAAGACATCTGACATCAACTTCTGTCCTCCATGTGCACACACACACACACACACACACACACACACACACACACACATACATAATTGGACCCCAAATGGGGCTCATGATATTCCTGTGGTGGGTGCCTGGAATAGGCAAGCTCACAGCTCCAGCCTGGAACTGTGAAGGCAGGGTAGAGAGTGTCATTCACATTCTTAGACCCTAGACCAAGGGTAGTAGACGATTTGTGTTTTGTGGCCTGGGGGTATTTTCTAGAAACTACCCAGTTCAGCAAGTGCAGGGACTGGATCTTAATCCCTTAAAGAACACACTGGGGCAGGGGGTGTAGTCTTTACATAAATACCATTCCTTCCCCTTCATAGTATGTGGGGCAACCCTAACCAGTATGCTGCATGGGCTCCCAGATATATCCAACAGGACTGAGTTCATTGCCCACAGTGATTACCTGTAGCTTGGGACACTGTCTTTTGTCTCCCTCCACTTCTTGTCTCACTGTCCCCTCTCTACCCCAACTCTGCCTTCTGGAATCGGGTCCCAAACAAACCACTTGCACCCAAATCCTTATTTCAGGCTTTACCTGGGGGGTTACTCAGACTAAGACAAAAACGTCCCTCAGAAGTTCATCATGGGGTTGAAATGAGGTCATTTAACTAGAGAGCTTTGTTCAGCTGGTCACATAGTGGATGCTCAGTAAAGTTAGCTGTGGTTGTTGCTGTTATGAGTATCATGTCAATCCACTGTTGAGGGTCAGATAGTGTACTCTGAAATTCTATAAAGGTAAATGCAAAAGTACTGTGTACAAAAAATAGAAGCCTCTGGAAAACACCTGTTTCTTTGAGCGGGCACACCACTATATGACCACTCCCCTAACCTGCAGGGCAAAGAACTGAAGAAATTAGAAATAACTGTCTGGAGGGGCTAGGACTGTAACTCACTTGGTAAAGTGCTTATCTGAAATGCATAAGGCCCTGGGTTCCATCCCCAGTACCCCATAAACTGAGTGTGGTGGCACACATCTGTAATCCCAGCCCTGTGAAAGTTCAGGCAGGAGGATTAAAAGGTTAAGGTGATTTTAAGCTACATGATGGGTTGAGGCCAGCCTGGATTACAAGAAGCCTACTGGGGGGCGGGGACAAAGATTGAGAGACAGAAAGAGTCAAAACTACTGCCGAACTGTTTTTTAACAGCCAGGAGCACAATTTCTGGAATCAAATTACCGTAGACTGACTTCTAGCTCCTTGGCTTGCTATCTGTGGAGTGAGAACAATTATTTAACCTTTCAATGTCTGTTTCCACATATGCAAAATAGCTATCATCCCTTACTATTGTTCAATAATTAAATGAAATAATCCATACAGAATAAATGGATGTTCACATAAAAGGCTTACATCCATCCTAGAGTATATTAAATGCTTAGTAAGCCTGTGCTGGTAGTAAGAGTAATAGTGGCATGGGCTCCATAACCACAGTCGAACTATGTCTCGCATTAACAAGCAACTCCCTGGGCCAGCAAGAGAGCTTGGTGGGTAAAGGCACTTACTACCAAGTGTGATAATCTGAGTTTGATCTCAGGAACCACTCCCTATAAACACACTAAATAAGTAAACAAATAAATAAATGTAAATAAAAGAAAACAAATTTTTTAATATTTTTATTTATTATTTTTATTTTATGTGTATGAGTGTATTGCCTGCATGTATGTAAGTACACCCTTGTCATGCAATGCCTGAGGAGGTCAGAAGAGGGTGTCAGATCCCTTGGAGCTGGAGTTACAAATAGTTGTTTGCTGCCATGTGGGTGCTGGGAAACAAACCCAGGTCTTCTGTAAGACCAGCCAGTGCTCTTAACCACT